GACGACTGCATCATCTGTATCGGAACTGTCGGCCTGTTGATTCTTTTTGGCCGACTGCTTTTTTGAGGAAGTATTCCCCGTAGATTTCTTGACATAAGTGTCAAGATCACCTTGATCAGCCAAGCGGTCTAGGTACCGCATGAGACTAATGCAGTCGTTGGTGTGATGACCAATGTCATCATGATAAGCACAGATTTTGTCTTGGTTCCGGTTGCTCGCAGAACCCTTCATGGGGAGCGGTTTCTCAATTGAGAGCCGTCCCTTTATTTCTTTTAGGATAAACTGGTTATCCTTGTTAAACACATACTTTGGGGAGTATGGTTTGAATTCCTTTTTCTTCTTGGCCGGCTGTTTAGAGGAATCAGCCGCCCAGACCCCTTTTCTTTTTTCATCTTTGTTGGACGACTGTTTCTGTCGTCCTTCTCTATTGTCGAACCTCTTCCCGTCCGACTGTTTCATTGTACACAGATCAGTCGCCTGTATATAGGCTTCTGCTTCAATCAAGGCCTCTTGAAGAGTCGCCACCCTTTTTCGAACTAAATCAAATTTGAAGGTAGACCCGTCTTTGAGACCTCTAAAAAAGTCAGTATAAGCTACCTCATCCGGTAACCCTTGAATCTGTATTCTCATCAGGTTGAACCGCCTGATGTAGGAACGAAGCCCCTCCTTTTCACCCTGCTGAATTGTTCCCAAATCAAGGGTCGTTTTCTTCGCAGGGATGTTCATTGCAAAGTTGGAGGCAAATAAGTAAGCAAGCGTCCTGAAACTGTTTACACAACCAGTCGGCAGGTTGCCGAACCATTGCTGTGCAATTCCCTTGAGAGTTGCTGGGAAACACTTGCACCAAGTGGGATCATCCAACCCTTGAAGGTACATCAGGTTGGTGAATGCCATCAGATGGTCTTCCGGGTTAGTAGTGCCATCATAGGCGCCTACTAAAACATTTTTTACTTTGGCCGGCTGAGCGGCTTCAGTAATTTCCTTGGAGAAGGCCGACGGCTGTTCACCAAGTCTAAGCAGCCGTAGCTGCCAGTCCATAGGTTGGACGTTTTTTGCTGCAGGTCCACCAAATGGAGGTGGCTGCATAAAATATTGTTGTTGCGGCACAAATGGTAAATTTGGTACCGCCTGCGCACTATGAAAGCCAGACTGACGGGAGGTGCCGCCTGACTGACTCTCATGGTACGACTGAGTTGGCCTCATCGAGGCATTTCGCAAACTGTCCTGAAAATTTGAAGTAGAAGCCGACTCTGATAATCGGTCACTCTTCTTCTGCTCTAGCAGGTGCCGAGCATCTGTGAACGTTTGCTTTGACCCGTCCGCCTGAATATGACGAACCGGTTTCCTATTTCCCGTAGGATAACGGAGTTTTGTGAAATCAAGAGCAGACGGCTCCCGCTTCTTAGATTTAGGATGGGGAGTCGCCTCTCGCCCTTGAACTGGCTTCCTCTTCAGTGAAGTGGAAGGTTTTTTGGCCGCCTGCTCTTTGACTGAAGCAGGCGGTTTTTTGTTGATCAACTCTTGGATCTCTCCCTTGAATCCCCTCATGAAGGTCATGAGTTCGTTCCTTGTGATGGGAGCAGACCCATCAGTCGGCTGTTGCCGAGCAAGCGGTGCGCCTGCTGGCTCGCTTCCTGTTTGAAGATACTCCCGTTCCCTTATTTCAGTATGACGGGTACGGCGGGCCCTTAGGGTCCCGTCTGGAGCTGTATGAGTTTCAACTTCAAATTCACTTTCGGTATCATGGTCCGACTGAACTTGAGGGTCGTCTAGGGGACGCCTCTCTTCTGGGGTCGGTACAGACTTGGATGCCATCTCTGAAGTACTCTCCCCACAGACGGCGCCAAATGTTTTGGGGTTTTCTGATGTCCTGCGGGAGAGCTACAATTCCGAGACTGGAACCGGACGCCTGTACCTGCAAAATAACGGAGACTCCTGAGAGCTCCGCCTCCAACGGTCAAGTTAGTACCTGATTAAGGAGTAATTAATACAGAAATTAAAGTAATAAGGTCTCTCTAGGTGAGAGTATTTAATGTAGGTAATCTGCTTTGCTAGCGAGATCAGCCGGTTATTAGTGTGTTCCGTAATGTTTCTCCTCCGTTCCGTTAATTATTCGGTCCCTTGATTAATGAGGATTAATCGAGTATTTATAGCCTGGGGAAGCGTGCAACTCTCTAGGTTTAAGGTAAACCTAGGGCCGATCGGGCTTCTAGACTGAAATGGGCCTTGATGGCCGGTTGTCCCATTTGGCATGGGTGGACACGTGGCGTGTCTTAAGTGGTCCGTGGAGGACGCGTGGCGGAACCTGGCTGGTCCACTTGTCAAACGGCGCTTGGTGGATAAAAATCCCCTAATCAGTCACATCTCAAAATGCGATCCATTCTACCATCCCGTTGAGATTTATGAGTTACTACTACCAAGCAAAATCCAGCTGCAATTGCAACCTGTTTTGCCCAATCAATCGCTTGTTGAGCTTCTTCGAATGGACCATCATGTCCAAATATCCCACTGTAATCATTTCCGTCTCTACCATAATCCTGCATCAATTATATATTATAATAAATACATTTAACGGATAATACATTTAATTTCTATATTTACACAGAATTAACACAAAAAAAAAACATAATTATGTATAATATTATTCATACACATACACATACAAATTTTAAACACAATCATTTATAAAAGTCACATAAACAATTAAATATTTTGGTATACATTAACACAAATCTACTCACTACATAAATAAAAACATTAAATTATTAAACATAATTTAAAAAAAACATCGTTTTGAATTTTCAATTTGAAATAAATTAAAAAAAAAATAAAAAAAAAACCATTTCCAATTTTTTTTAATACAATTTCGAATTGTCAAACTTAATTTTAAGAAAAAAACCTTTCTCAACAATCAAACTTAATTTTTAAAAAACCCATTTCGAATTTTCAAACTTAATTTAAAAAAATACCATTTCGAATTTTCAAACTTAATTTTAAAAAAAACCTATTTCGAATTTTCAAACTTAATTTTAAAAAAACCTATTTCGAATTTTTTAAAAAAATCATTTTCGATTTTTAAAAGAAAAATTAAAAAATAAAAAATAAAAAAAAAAACAACAACAAAATCAAAAAAGAAAAAAAGAAAAAGAAAAAGGGGTGGCGTCTGCCAGGGACTGGACTGGCGCTTGGCAGGGCCGCCTCAGCCAATGGACTAGCGCCTGGCCAGGACGCCTGTCTGGTGGTCTGGGCGTCTGGGCTGGACGCTGGTGTGGTGGTTCTGGCGTCTGGCTTGGACGTCCATGCTACGGTTAGGGCGTCCATCCTAGGCGCCGGAGCCACTGCTACGGTAAACCGTAAATTTTAACGATGACTTACCTCGTTTTCCGTCGACGACGACGTACCTCCGGCGTCCCCCGCATCTCCGGCCTGCCCTCCGGTCTCCCCTGGCGAGCCAGTACGGCTCCACATTTTTTAAATCGAGATTTGTTCAATTTTAGAAAATGGGCATAATTGTCATACCAAGTCATATTTGTGGGCTTTATATGGTAATTTGCGGGCGATGTTTAACAAATCCCCACTTATTTACCTATTATTTTATTTAAGTCAATTAAATTGTTTAAAATTATTTATAGGTTAAATTGTAACAATATTAATACGGAGGGAGTATGAGAACAGCGTAAGATCAAATTAGAACATTTAACAAAAAATATATAGAGGAATAACCTCCTTTTGGACCGCTGCAAAAAAAGATAAATGAAAAGAAAAAAAATCCTCAAAGTATTGTAGTTTTAATTGGCAAATGTAAAGTCATACAATGGATGGACAAAAGTAATTAAATCAATACTATTGTTTTAAAATAGGAAGTTGGAAGGACACTTGTCCTCTTTCTGTTTTTCCTGTTTTAAAATAATTTATTTTAATTACAAAAAAAAAAAAAAATCATACATCTCTTCCATCCCAATCCCGTAATCATGTCCATTCAAGAAAATATTAAAAACAAAAAAAAAAATCATACATCTCTTCCATCTCATTCTCCTAATCATGCCTATTCAAGAAAATATTTTTATTTTTTATTTTTTTTAAAAAAAAAATCATACATCTTTTCCATCCCAATCCCCTAATCATGCCTATTTCAGAAAATAATTTTTTCATCAAAAAAAATTATTAAAACAAATTTAGTGTTTTATCTCAAAAGAAGTTAATTGTTCATCAAAAACCCACCACTGAAAAACAGTAAATCCTTTTCTATTTCTATTTCCATTTCACTATATTTAAAGTTTCGCTTATGTATGATCAAAATTTGTTTTCCACATTTAAAAGAATTGCTATGTTTGATTTGCAGAAAGGTCATTGTGGACCAAATGACTAATAGTGAGTGAAGTTCAAATTGGGCTACAAATTCTCTTTTGGTAAGCATGTTTCTTCTATTTTATGTATATTGTAGAACAATGAATAAGAAAAATAAATTTGTCGAACAACATTTATAAATTGTAACTCTTATAGATGACAAATTGTTTAAATTTGACAGACTTTTAAGTGTATTGTATATTAAAAATGCTAACCTAATACTATTGTTATAATATTGCCTATTACTATAAGATTAGATAGTAATGTTTATATATTAAAAAATATATACTCCCTCGGCCCACAATTATCTGCAAGATTTGCCATAAATGGGTGCTCTTTATTATGTGCAACAAATTTTTTTCTTTGTAAATTTTAAAGAGTAAAAAGACCATCTTACCCTTACTTTTATTTTTAACTTTGTTTAACATCTTATAATTACACTTACTTACCAACTAATTACCACCTTACCCCAGCCACTTCGCCGCCCCGAGCACCAGAACCACCGCGACAAGACCCCAAATCGTCGCGCAATTCTCCAACCATCCCCTACCCCTTTCTGTCGCCACTAATCCACCACAACCAATAATCTGAGTTTGTGGATTTCGGTGGTTTGAGTTCGTAGGTTTCGTGGTGGGTTCCGATTCTAGATCTGGGTTTCGTGGGTTTGATGGTGGGTTTCGAAAGTCTGAGTTCGTGGGTTATGTTGGTTTGAGTTTCGTTGGTTACGGTGGTTTGAGTTTCGTGAGTTCGTGGGTTACGGTGATTTGGGTTTCGTGGGTTTGGTGGTGGGTTTCGATTCCAGATCTGGGGTCGTGGGTTTTGTGGTGGGTTCCGTTGTGGGTGCCGTCGTGGGTTTCGTAGTGGGTTGCGTAAGTGGTGGTTCTGCGTCCATGAGTGGTGGTTGTTCTCCAATGTTTAACTGTTTTATTTTTTTATTTTTTTTGGATTAATTATCCCTTCTCTCTCCTCTTAATTTTCAATAATCTTGTTTAAGATATTTTGCCTAAGAGTCCGCAAAAAGGACGTTTGGTGCAGATAATTGTGGGCGGAGAGAACATATATTAACCCATTATGTATAAAGTTGAGATCCTATATATTTTATTGATGTTTATTATTTTTTTTTAAAAAAATTACAATACAATAAACCGCCGTGCGATGCACGGATTAAAGAATAGTTGAATTTAAATACTATCCTTAAATTTACCACCAAAATATCTTTCCTCTTTAGAATTTTTTAATTATTCAAAACATCCTTTCCTTCCCATTCCATTTCTCCAAGTTTCGGTGCATTCACTGAACCCAACCAACACAGACACAAAAAAAAAATCAACAAAACTTCTTCATCACTCATTTTTTTCTGGTTTCCAGAATCTCTCTGTAACTCCACCATTTTATTTTCTCTCTCCTAGGGTTTTGCATAAATTGTTTAATCAAACATGAAAATTCAATGTAATGTCTGTGAGACGGCGGAGGCCACGGTGCTTTGCTGCGCCGATGAAGCCGCTTTGTGCCGTGATTGTGATGAGAAGGTTCATGCTGCTAATAAGCTTGCTAGCAAGCATCAGCGTGTTTCTTTGTCTAACTCTTCCTCTCACATGCCTAATTGCGATATTTGCCAGGTTTCTTTTTTCTTTCTCGGATTGATTTTTGTTGTTGTTCTTGTTATTTTTGATGATATGATTTGCTTTAATTATTGATTTCATTCTTTTTGATTTCTGCTAGTTAAATTTTTTTCGGTATCTTATTATGAATATTTCCCCCCAATTTTGAATTGGGTGGTGGAGAAAAATAGTAGTGCTGTAAATCAGGATAATTTATTCTCTATGTTCTTCCTGATAATTTTTGCAGTTACCAACGCAAATTTCAAATATAAATGTTTTTAATCAAGAAAAATTAGTATAAAAAATATGCATTGAGACGAACTTTTGGAGATCCCACATGATAATGTTTTATTTATTTATTTATTACTCCGGATCATATCTACGGATTAATATTTAGGCGAGGGTTAATAAAGTATGGTTTTGTAATCGCGTCCTTCTGTTCAGGAATAACAAATAGGGACAAAGGTAGTATGATTATATAGATAATTTTTGGATCATGTGTTAAGGTACAAAATGACCTAGGAAATTGCTTTATTCACAATCACATTTGTTTGTTATTTTAATCACATGAAGATATTTTTTTTTTTTGACAAAAAAGATGGTGTTACTATAACAAAAGTATCATTCTCTCCGTCCCTAAGTACTCAGGCCATATTTGATTAAGGGTCGTTTTTAAAATTGGATTGGTATACGATAATTATCCTTATAAATTTAAAAAACTTACATCTTTTTTGTGTCACAAGCGCACAATGTAGTTCGTAAGGATTTATTTATTTATTTATTTTTAAATTATTAAGGGTAACATGGACAAATTAGTTTTCCGGTTTAAATTTAGAAAGTTGAATGCTATTTCCAGACATTCCAAATAGAAATGTGGCCTATATTTAGGAACAGAAGGAATAGCTTTTATGGCAATTTTATTATGGTAATTGTTTTTGAATTGTGCAATATGTAGTTGATGTCAAAATATCCAAATAACACTAATATTGCAGCTCCATGTCTACTCAAACCATTTAAATTTGAGAAATATTGTTTTTGGTTTTTTTCTGAAGTACATTACTTTGAAAGGTAGGGATTAGATATTTAGAAGAATTATCATATTGTATTAAAAAAATCGGAAATGTTGATCAAATTTTGGATGTCAAATCTTTCATATTTGCTTCCAATATTAATATCAACTAGCAGCATCAATTTGATATTGATAATCAGTTGTAAATAATTTACACTTTATATAAATTTAATCAGCACTGTAATCTTAAATCAGCTCTGTGTTATGGGGATTATAAGAAGGAAGGCAATGTATGACATGACTTATGGATGATGTGATTAGTATATATATCAAGAGATGTATCAGTTTAAGGAAGGGATATTTGGATCTATGAAGTAAGACATCGTTGATGTCATGATGTGTACCTTAAGGGAGTCCAACCTTGGTAAATGTGATTCGCAAATATTTGGTTGCATCAGTATCAGGTCATATGGCCTTGTCGTTCGTATACTATTTTTGCCGTTTTTTTGTTCACTGCATTTCCCCTCTATACTTTATTTGTTATGATGCGGCGTGGAATGTATTGCAGGAAACAGTTGGCTACTTCTTTTGCCTTGAAGACCGAGCTTTACTTTGCAGGAAGTGTGATATTTCCATCCACACTGCAAATGCCTTTGTCTCAACCCATCAAAGATTTCTGTTAACTGGAGTAAAAGTGGGACTTGAGCCCACAGAACCTGGTTCTTCTTCTTCTGTAGGGAAAAGTCATTCTGGAGAGAAAGTCTCAGATGGTGAAAATCGTGCTACACTAAAGAGGAGTGCTCCTGCATCAACCACTAATGAATTTGCCAAAGCTGACCCTGTTCAAAGAGGAATTGAGGCAGTTATGCCTTTCAAGAGGAGCATGACAAAGCTGGTGGCCAGTGAATTTCCCAAAATTCAACCTGTCCAAAGTGGTGCTCTTGAGGACATAACTCAATCTAGAATGACTGTTGCCGGTGGTTCTGCTGCAGGAACCCTTCCTCAGTGGCCCATGGATGAATTTCTTGGACTGAATGACTTCCAATTAAATTATAGTTTCCCCGACAATGGATCATCAAAGGTATGCGTATAGTTACTTTCATCAAATATCATGCTTAACCCCATGTTTTGGCCTCTGCGGGCTCTGCCCCCTAAGAAGTTACAATGCAAGGTATCCATTGATCCGACGAATTAAAGAGTGTATTTATTTGGGGAGGGGTTGGGTGGATAAATAGTGATAATAATTATTTCAAGGTTGTGTTTCCTGGGTTTGTTGATGCTTGGTGTCATGTTTGATTATTATTTACAAGCGTAGTTTTCATCATTCTGAGCGAGTATTTGACATTCTGGTACTTGGGTTGTCACAAAGGTGTCCTTAGCTGGTGGTAGTGATTGAATCGATGACAAACTAATGACTAGACAATATGGTACAATTTCTGTCATACTCACGGTGTCACGGCAACGCTTAAGGTTTAAACAGTAGTGGACCTCCTGTTCTTTACTATATCTCTTCAACTTCTTAATAGACAAGACTATTCAATGGTAGGTCTCTCTCCCTCCCCCAGGAAGAAAGATGCTTTGTGAGAGTCCCTCCTTTGCAAGATCCCTTGGAAATGTCTTCAAATTTTTTGCCTCGTTCTCTTAAGACAACTACCTTTTGTCAAGTTACAAAACTTCCTTTAATGTGGCCAACATCTCCCCTGCTTTTAATTACCTTCCTTTCCAATTTTCAAATTCTTTTTCTATTTAAAACCCCCACACTGTTGCTTTATATCTCATGCTCAAAATCTATCATAATATAACATCCAAGCAACAAATTGATTATGGGGCTCACTATAGGTAAATTATCCCTTTCTTTAAGCTGTAATTACTAACCAATTTCTCATGTTAGGGATTTTTGATTACTGGGATTGATTACAAATAAGGTTTTTTAATTGGTGGCAACTGTCCAATACTCCATAAGAAGGCTTCAATTGGGGTAATTGTTCATTAATTTAGATATTGGTTTTTAAATCAGGGATTTTGGTTGATGAATATACTGAAGTAATCTATGTCGGAGAATGAGTAATAAAGTAAGAACTGAAGAACATTTGCAACAAAAAATCTCATTTACTATTCATTTCCAAACAATCACCTAGCACATCAAGTACTTTTATAGGCTCATAAAAATATACTACGTACTGCATTATTAAAATTAAGCACCATGACTAGAATGCAGAAATAGCCCAGTAATTCATAAACAGCTGGCAATAATCATGTCCCTATAAGGACCATTACTTTCATCTCACTCTACTGCAAAAAATGTTAAAACTATGAAGCACTTCTCTTTTATATGTCATGCACTTCTGACCACTTGCACAGTTTTGTTGATGCACATTATCACCTAGCATCATATCTTTGGAGCACTTCTCTCCATGCTTGATTCACTTTCTATATCTTCATTTTTTTTTATCCAACCTCACTTTCCATGGTGGTTTTGCTCTTCATTTATTTGATAGGTCATTGTCTCCTCATTTATTTCATCATTGTGTTTGTTCTTGATTGTCCGCAAACCTGAGAGGATGGATAATAAAATACGAAGTTAAGAACATTTGCTACAAAATAACTTTGTTACTATTCATTTTCAAATAATTACATTTATAAGCTCATACAAGTATACAACATACTTCATTACTAAAAATAAGCATTATAACTAGATTGTGGAATAGCCTACTAACTCAATAACGTCCACTAATGCACATTAACAATACTCATAAATTATCATGTCCCGATAATTAAGGTTCATTATCAGACGGGTCAAGTCCTTGGTCTGCTCTATCTTGCCTACCAAGATTTCCAACAAGCAACGCCCCACATTCCAAAAGTTCCAGAAAACTGAGGGAGGGAAAAGGATTAATGATTCGCAGGATAGAAATTGAGTATAAGATTGGAAAGGAGGAGAGAGAGAGAGAGAGAGAAAGATTGATGATGATCATAGGAGAGTAATTGAGTATTAGACAGGATTTACTGTTACAAAAATCAGACGTGCAGTCCTTTTGATGATTGTTTGTTATTGTTTTGTTTCTCTTAAGGTGTTGTTTGGTTGCACATTAAAAATGGCGGAATTGAAAATTCCCATGAATTTGGAAATAAGGGGCTTGTTTGGTAGACCATAAAAAGTGGAGAATGTGGGAAGGGTAAAATCATGGAAATTTCCAATTCTCGCAAAACATGGGAATTTAATTACGAAGGTCCCCCTTGGTAACTCAAAATTCCCATGATTTGTAAATACCCATATATCAACCAAACAAGTTTAGTTAATTCCTAGGAAGTTTGATATGGGATTTTAATTCCCATGAAATACAAATGCCCATAGGAAATTAATTCCTTTGTTAACCAAACAATACCTTAAATAATTCGAATCTTCCTTCATATGGCCACAACATAAATGTTTTCAGTCCTTGGCTGTGCAGACCATTAATCCACATCCATTTGTTTGAGTTCCGTCAATTGATGATATTGAGCTCCCTCCATCATCAACATTTCTGAAACTCTGTTATCTTAGGCCATTAAAGGAGAAAAGTAAATTCCTGATTCAAACCTCAATGAGCAAGTTGCATTTAACTGGAAACCTTTCTTAAACTCTGGCTTTGTTAGCAAGCTTCTTGGCCAAGATCAACTGTACAAAGAATCTGGTCAAACAGGTACTACATTCTTAAGAGCTACTTCAGGAAAATTCCCTCTCAGTTTTACACAGCTTAGATAAAGAAATTACTATACTTCAACACCGAAGACCAAGTTTTCTCTGTGTTAATAACTTATCTACCTGTATTGATATGTCCTTTTCCCTGGGTTCTTGCCCCGAGACATCTGTTGAGCCAATATTGCTGTGTAATACGATAGCCATGGACCTGCCATGTTAAAAGAAATTTTTGAGGACTAGGTGATGTAACCAAAACCTGTATATGAAACATTAATGTATAAAGATACAAATCAAAAAATTCAGGCCACCTGATACATTGGCTAACACGCATTGTTATGGGCAGGCTCTTTTAATTACGATTGCTCCCAAAATTGGGAAGCATTTCTTTCAACTTTAATGAATTTGGCCCTGATAATTTATCTTATGCAACTTTCTTGGTATGTAAACCATGGCTTGATTTGGTCTCTTTGCATTCCAGCCTGAGACTTCTGTTGAGCCAATGTTGCTGTCTAATATGATAGCTATGGACCTGCCATATATAAAGAATTTTTTTAGGACTAAGAGATACACTCATAACCTATATTTTAAACCTTATTATATATAGACACAAATCATACCATTCAGGGCACCTGACACATTGGCTAACAGCATAACACACATTATTATGGGTAACTAAAGCTCTTTTAAATTTTACAATTGCTCTGATATCTGTAAGAAAGCCCTCCAACTTTGAAGAATTTGGCCTGATAAGTTATCTTACGTAACTTTATTGGTAGTAAATCTTTCTTAGGCCTTCTGGCATATCTGATATAGGCTCTACACTTCTGCATACATTAGTTTTGGTATTCTTGGACTATTGCTGGAGGTTTATCTATGTTCTGTCTGACTTGTACTCTCAAATTGGTAAGTCTTTTTACTCTTCACTCCCTTGTTCATTCATCATAATCTTTTCTAATTTTTTACAGGCTGATAGTGGCAAGCTCGGAGAGTCCGACTCTTCAATCCTAAGGTCCATAGAAGATGATTTGGATAGCGATGATCGGTTGGGCCAGGTTCCAGATGTTTCTTGGACAGTGCCCCAGGTGCCATCACCACCCACCGCATCAGGACTGTATTGGCCCAAAACGTCTCAGCACATGGTTGACAATGCTGTGTTTGTGCCCGATATATGCTGGCCACAGGGGCCAAATTACTTCCAGTAAACGCCGTGAAGGTAAAAATGCAGTGCTAGCCAACCTATTTAGGTTTATACTATTTAAATCTAGCAGGTCGACCTAGTGGTTTAGGTATCAACATAGTTTAGTGTAATATTCTCGTGGTGTACTCAAATGTACTAGGGATTTGTTAATATTTCAAAAATGTCTGACAATGGTTGGGACTTCACAATATAATGTATCTTTATAACTTATTCATAAGGGGGAAAAAATACAATAGAATCTGTATTTGAAGTGGAAGAAGCAAATAGGCCACAAGACTGGAAAGACCTGTTAATATTGTGAGAACAATTTTATTTTTTTGCTTTAAGGTTTTTTTTTTTTTTTTTTTTTTTTTTTTTTGTTGTTCATTTATTTTTTTGCTTTTAAGTTTTTTTTTTGTTTTTTTTTTGAACAAATTTTGCTTTAAGTCTATCTGCTTAATTAATTTTTATTTATTTATTTTAGAAATTGCTACATCTATTATTTGATTATCTTAATAAATAGGTTAATGCTCATTCAATGCACGGATTTGTTCTTCAATATATTTCCAACTAGATTAGTATTTGTGTGATGTACGAATGCACGATAGTAATAATTTTTTTCCCATAATTAATTATGATATAATATAAAAATAAGGCAACTTATGTGGAATAAACAAATGTAATGCATATAGAAAAATAAAATAATAAGGCAACATATATAAAAACTACAATTGAGAAAAAAAAAATATAATATTTGATTAGTTGTGTTGAAAATATTTTAAAGTAGTGTATATACATTATATTACATTAATTATGCATATTATTCCCAATAAAACTATACAATCTAGTGACTATATGACTAAAAACTTATTTATAAATGTCTTTTAGTAAACATGAAAATATTAATCAAACAACGAAAATATTTTAGGTAAATGTTTATGGAAGAATATAATAAAAAACACGAAATAAAAAGAAATACATTTTATGTACAGATATTATATAATATTTGGAATAATATTATTATAGTTATGTTATACAAATATTCCAAAAATAAAAGATTATTATTTGATAAAAGGGGAGGGGGAGTTTTGGAGGGAAAAAACAGTACCATGAAATGACACGTGTCAATCCTGGTGTTTGTTTTAGTATTATGTTATTGATTGAGATTGGTGCAAGTCTCTGTTGCCAGACAGAGACCTTAAAAAACCAAAAATTATTACGTAAAGTTGTATATTATTAAAATCAAAACATTTTGTGTGAGACTGGACTCACAGTGAGTCCAACCCTCAGCAACAAAAGCCCAGTAACAATTGTAAAAAGGCACGGGTAGAGGTGATCAAAGTTAGCCCAACCCGATTTTGGGCAGAATTTTTTGGCCAGAAATCGAGTTGGGTCCGGCCCGGCCCGAAAATTTATTTTTTTTTGGCCCGATTTGGGAATGCGTTTTTATGCATATTTAGTTGATTTTTTAGGCCCGGCCCGAAAGCCTGCACGGCTTAACCATTTTGGGCACAAAAATTTCGGCCCAAAACTTGACCCGGTCCGGCCCAATAAGCGGGCACAATTTTTTAACTTCGGCCCGACCCGAACCCGACCCCGTCCGCCTAATGATCACCTCTAATCATGGGCTAATAACCCGATCTAGGCCAGCGAGAACTCAAAACATGCAAAATGCATGTTATAAACTAGTGCAAAAATGCAATAATTGAGGCGTCGTTTTTCATCAACTTCCGAAAAAGAAATTTAAAAGCTTGTGAAATTGTCATTAATGGAGGAACCAAACAAGTTGATGATCATCAACGAAGAATCGAACTCACCTATTGAATCAATTTTGAGTTCAATTACGCCAGGTGCGAATTGTTATATTTATTACGATAAATTTCATACGAATTCAATTTTCCATTTCATTTAAAGTATAAAAAAGCATGAATTATTAATTTTGATAAAATTTTGAAGCAAATTTAATATCATAGAGTATTGGATTATAACTATAAATTCTGATAAAATTTCATGTAAAATCAGTTTTAGATTGCATTTCAAATAGGAAAATGTAGAAAATGCAGAAATTATAAATTTTGATTCATGCAAATTTAATTTCGTAGCGCATTAATTTCATACAAATGCAGAATTTAAATTAGAAAACGCATAAAATGCAGAAATTATAAATTTTGATTCTTGCAAATTTAATCTTGTATTGCATTTAATTTCAATTACGAAAATGCAGAAATAATAAATTATTCATGCAAATTTAATTTCGTATCGTATTTTATCAAATTCAAATGCAGCAAGTAAAATAGTAACACAATGATGATGAAGAAGAAGATGAAGATGCTGCAAATATACTTAGTATGTCTATTTGAAGTTTTGAATATCCAACTTCTAATATGTGACACTAAGAATTTAATATATGACACTTTAGATTTAACATCAAACAAAAGTAACATAATATCTGATTAATAATGTATTAACTTAGAAAAATAAAATAATGCCTAACTATAGTAATCTATTATTCAACAAAACTAACATAATACCTGACTATAATTATCTATTATCAAACATAAGTAAAATAATTCTAGACTATAACAAATTAATATCAAATGAAACTAACATAATACCAAACTATTGTAATGTATTACCAAATAGAATTAACATAATACCTGACAATCAAACTACTACTTAAATATCTAAATAAAATAAATTTAATAGTGTTATTCATAATTTTATCGTAGACGATTACAAATACGACAGAGATGAAAATATAAACAAATGCCTAGTAAGCTACACAATTACGATGATGGATCCAAAGCACATTCAAGATCAATTGGATTCAGTGTTAGAAAATCAACACAAAGAAGAGATAATGATAGTATTCTCTATGAATTTTATTTTAGATGCTCTAAAGAAGGGTAAACAAAAAATAAAATAAAGGCTTTGGAAGAAAATTTAGTTGAAGTCCCAATATTAAGTAAAACGGGTGAAAAGATGAGAAAAGAAAGGGAAGTAAATGAGACAAGGACCGGATGCAAAGCTATTATTCGTTTAAAAAAGTGGAGAAGATTCAGTACAAGTAGTTACCCATAAGTTGGAACATAATAATGAAATGGTGAAAACAATTCAACGCCGTCATCTGAGATAAGAAAGACAAATATTACCGCAAATGGGTGAGCTAATTGAGAATATGATAGAGAGTGGAATTAAACCAATGAATGCTTACAATTACATAAACAATAAAGCTGGAGGAGAAGAAAATGTGGGTCATACTAAGGTAGATCACCCGAATCATGTATCAAGGGTGAAACTGAGTATGGTTGAAGGTGGGGACATGCCGAATGTATTGTATTGGACACAGTGCAAGAAAGAGAAGATAAAGATCCTTCATTTTTTTATAGACTGAAATTTGGAGAGGAAAATAATGCGGTGAACTATTTTTGGCGTGACTCGCAAATGCTTGAAGATTTCAAAGCTTATGGGGATGTTTTAATCTTTGACACAACATACAAAACAAACAAATATGGTCTGATATATGCACCATTTGTTGGTATAAATAACCATTGGAGAACAACAATATTTGGATGTGCCTTCATAACTGATGAGAAAACTGCAACATTTGTTTGGTTGCTTTCAATCTTCAAAGAACCAATGTGTGGAACTCAACAAAAAAAAAAAAAAAAACAATCTTCACAAATCAAAATCTTGCAATTGGCAATGCCATACAAGAGGTAACCATGTATAGCTTTATAATATCCTGTATAGAGTCTGTGATATTTTTATTAAATTAATTAGTATTATCTGATAAATATTATTAAAATCTGACTATATTAATTCACTATCTGACAATGTTAATATACTATTGACAAAAATGAAATAATACCTGTAGAAAAACATATTATCAAACAATAGCAAAGTAATACCTGACTATGAAAAACTATTATCAAACAAAGTATTATAATATATAACTATACTTAACTATTATCAAACAAAAAAAAAAATAAAAAAACTCACACATTACAAAAATTTAATGTTTAATATCTGATTTTAGTATATTATTATTATTATTATTATTATTTTTTTTTTTTCCTGTTGAAGGTTTATCCAAATTCAAGACATAGGTTGTGTTTGTGGCACCTATGGAAAATTTTTGTCTCACACTTTGGAACTCTAAAAAGCAATCCTGAATTCAAGAATATGTTCCACAAATGGTAAAGTGGTTGTGATTCAGAATCAGAATTTGAAGAATGTTGGCACAAAATGGTGCACAAACATGGATTGGAAAAAAAAAAAGAATGGTTTGATAGATTATATGGACTACGAGAAAAATGGTGCACAACCTTAAGTAAAGACATATTCTCAGCTGAAATTCTTTCATCTCAAAGAGTAGAAGTATAAAAAAAGAGCAATTTCATTTAAGGCTAATAGAACCACTAGCTTGTTTGAGTTTTTCACACATTTGAACGAACTGTAAAAATTAAAGGTGGAGAAGCACTGAAATGAGTGACAACTTTAGATGTACTACCGAGAAACCAAAAACAACAAAGATATTAAGACATGCTGCTGAAGTTTATACTCAAAACTTATACAAAGATTTTAAGTTGGAATTTGAAACAAGTCTGGGAGCATATGCAAGAAAAAAAGTTTGTTCAATACAAAACGTGAAATTCTTTGATGTTTCTCTTAAAGAAGATTATAAACATAGCTATCAAGTCATATATTACTGCCACAACCACGAGTTCGTATGTTCTTGTATGTGCTTCAGTGAGACTGGATTGTTGTGCTTTCATATTTTCAAAATAATGCAAATGTACAGAAACATTGGACAAAACTAGCAAAATTAATAATATGGGACGACAATGAAACGGGTACGCACATACTTCTTTCAACAAAACTTATTATGTGTTAATTATTATACATACATACATACACACACATATATATGTATATATATGTATGTATGTATGTATGTATATATATATATATATTATGTATATATATATATATGTATGTGTATATATATATTATGTACACACACACACACACACACACACACACATATATATATATATGGTCGGGATTCTGTGAGAACCACCCTTTATGTGAGAACACTATTATATATGAGAACTCATCACAACCATTAGATACTATAAGATCCAACTGCTGAGATTGTTCAACTAGTAATGGCAATAATGTAATTTTAAAAACAAAAACATCAGCCCCAATTACGTATATTTGTATACTCCTCTTTCTCTCTTTATAAAACTTGAAGGTGGGATTTCAATGGAGACAACTGAAGATCGACAATTTCTCTCTCCTCTTGTTCACTGCTACATAATTTCAATTAGTACTTTTCAGA